CTCTGTGAACTCCACAAGATCTTGTATATATTTCCTACTCTAGAATTTTAAAACATTTGTGTGAATGTCCTCATCAGTTCCTTATCCTTTATGCTTACTGGGAAATGGGAACAAGGACAAATTGGGTTAGGTGTTAAATGCTTTAAATTGATTTAATCTCTCTGTTCCAGGAAACTTGGAGACCTTTTTTTACACTGTCCTTCTTGACAGGATTACTGGAAAGAAATGAGGATCAATATTATCTTTCCTAAGGTGCAGATAGAGATGAGTCAAGGAACTTAGTCATCCTGTCCATTATTTTATCACTGAATTCTTATCACTCCAGTTGTAAAGACAGGAAGCACTTAAGCTAAAGTTTCCAAAACATTTTTTTTTGAGCGGTGCCTTAGTTTGGGCTGTCATAACAAATATCATAACCTTGGTGGTTTAAACAGTAGATATTTATTTCTCACAGTTCCTGGCACTGGGAAATTCAAGGTCAAGGTGTCAACTGAGTCAGTTCATGGTGAGGACCCTCTTTCTGGTTTGCATACAGATACCTTCTTGCTGTATCTTCACATGGTGGAGAGAGAGAGTTTATCTCTCTTATGTCTCTTATAATGGCACTAATCCCATTTATGAAGGCACCACCTTCATGACTTAATTACCTCTGAAAGAGGTAATTAACCATCAGATTAAGGATTAGGGCTTCATTGTGTGAATCTGAGGAGGGCACAAATAAGATGAAAATCTGAAAAGAAAGAGATATGTAATTTACACGATACTTCCCTCAAAGATGTTATGTTATGGTTAACTTGTGAGAAGAGTTGAGGCAAAGGGACTTCATTTCTCCTCTAGATGACTTTAATTCCATTATTTACATCTAAGTGCATCTAAGAACACTAGCAACAAGGACAACTAATATTTGCATAACCTTGTGCAGTTAACAAAGCATTTTTACATTTACCAAAATGCCCTCAATATCAAAGCTGTGAAAAGTCCATTCCATAATGTAGTGGGAGGGTGACCTTAAGGTGTGGCTTATAGGAAATCATGGAAGTTCCCATAATAGAAATTGAGATAAAAGATTTTGATGTTTGTTCACAGCATCCTTAAATTTCCATAATAGCCCTTAAGGATAATCTAGTCAGGAAGTATACTTAATGTCCAGACACTTGTCATTGTTCATGTTTTAATATCTTTGTAAAGTTTTGTTTAACTTTCCATAAAATAATCAAACTCTGCCATTTAGAGAAGCCATAGATTTGCCTTTTGTCTGAGGATGTAAATCTTGGCTTCTATCAGGATTCTCGGTGAAAGGTGAAGGGCTATGCGTATTTCAGCTTTCTATTTCAGGTTCCCCTCAAGTTCAACTGGGGTTTATGTTTTTTAATGGGAAGAGACCAAGTCTAATGCAGCTGAAACATCCTTGAATGGCTGCAATGCTGGGCAAAAATCAAAAGGGCTTGGGCTTCATATATGAACTAAACAGTTTCAAGGGCTTACCTCAGGTAGAAGGTGTAAACAAGTTATCAGTTTTTACTTTTTCTGATAATGGGTTTTGTCTGGAAAAACTATTTATGAACACCAGTTGACCAAATTGGACAATACATTACATAGACTCTCTGAGGCCATAAATTAGTATTTTCAAATTGAGATGAAATAGTTTCCTCAGGAAATGTACTTTTCTGATCATTTACAGATTTAGGCTCTATTTTGTAGGCTTTTCATTCACTCTGTCATACATTGATTCATTTCACTCATTCAAAGAAGCATTTATTGAGTGCCTGCTGTTTTCCCAGCTTGCCTCCAATTATTTCTTTGAAAGGTGACCCATTTGGAACACTCCTAAAAATACTGGAGAGTTGATTGATGTTTTTAAGTGCAGTCTGAATGCGTTGAATCTGAAGGTTGGTGGAAAGGGCTTTGGAAACAGTCTCATCATTCCTGCAATTTCCTCTGCTGTGAATTTGCAGGGAGCATCCTCAAAACTAACAGCTAGAAAAAATGCCACCTGTGATGCTCCTCATTTCCTCTCAGAAATTCACAATATATGCCTGGGATGGGGTTCACAGTGCCCATGCTTACTTATCCACGTGGAGCCTCTTCTTGCCCTTTGGTTTCAGCTTTTGTGTCACGCATGTCCTTAGCAGTTAACATCACAGCTTCCCAGGTGACCGGGTATGGAAGATTTTATACTTCTTATGAAAGTCAACATAGAATAGAGATTACAGAGACTGGTGAGGGAAGCATTTCCACAGCAAGTGTTTTGGCTGTTTTGATGTCCTTTCTTTTGGATAACAGAGAAGCCAACTTCTTGATTAAAAGAATATCCATGATTTCTCTAAAAGGTTGTACACAGTCAAGGGTTCTATATCAATGTACTTTCCCTGTCCATTAAATAGGACCTATATGTTATTTGGGCCAGGCTAACAAAATTCTTTAGAGAAGATATAAAGTTAACAAAATATTTAATTTGTATTACATCATGCCAAATAGTGTATTTGACAGAAATGTTCACTTACTGACTAGTGAAGAGATGCCATGAAGTGGTGATTCACATTTATATCTTAGAATTATACAAATAAAGTTATTTATCCATATGATTTTAAACTTATGAAGTTGGAGTGGGAGTTTGAAGAGAAAGAGCAACTTAGAGTCAATTATGTATGAATATAGTATTTTTGAAGGAACATTAATTTCTCAGTTCTCCACCTTAATTTTTTTTAACATTTTTTATTGATTTATAATCATTTTACAATGTTGTGTCAAATTCCAGTGTTCAGCACAATTTTTCAGTCATTCATGTACATATACACACTCATTGTCACATTTTTTTCACTGTGAGTTATCATAACATTTTGTGTTATAGACACTGGTTAATATCAGGGCATTTAGATATTTATGAGGAGCTTCCATTTGGAAAAAATGAAACCATGAAATAATAAAAAAAATTGTGTATGTTTGTATATGTTTATGAATGTAATGAGTATGCCTATGTGTATATGGATATTTTGAATAAGTAGCACAAAAATTGAAAGCACTTTAAGCTTAATTGTTCCTAATTTTCTTAAAATATATTTGACCTAAATTATGTTTTTCTTTTTTTACATTTTTTATTGATTTATAATCATTTTACAATGTTGTGTCAAATTCCAGTGTAGAGTACAATTTTTGAATTCTACATGAACATATATATATATTCATTGTCACATTTTTTTCTCCGTGTTCTACCATAAGATCTTGCATATATTTCCCTGTGCTATACAGTATAATCTTGTTTATCTATTCTACAATTCTGAAATCCCAGTCTATCCCTTCCCACCCCCACCCCCCTTGGCAACCACAAGTTTGTATTCTATGTCTATGAGTCTGTTTCTGTTTTGTGTTTCTGTTTTGTTTGTTTTTGTTTTTTTAGATTCCACATATGAGCGATCTCATATGGTATTTTTCTTTCTCTTTCTGGCTTACTTCACTTAGAATGACATTCTCCAGGAACATCCATGTTGCTGCAAATGGTGTTATGTTGATGGGTTTTATGGCTGAATGGTATTCCATTTTATAAATATACCACTTCTTCTTTATTCAGTAATCTGTTGATGGGCGTTTAGGCTGTTTCCATGTCTTGGCTATTGTAAATAATGCTGCTATGAACATTGGGGTGCAGGTGTCATCCTGAAGTAGATTTCCTTCTGGATATAAGCCCAGGAGCGAAATTCCTGGGTCATATGGTAAGTCTATTCCTAGTCTTTTGAGGAATTTCCATACTGTTTTCCACAGTGGCGGCACCAAACTGCATTCCCACCAGCAGTGTAAGAGGGTTGCCTTTTTTCCACAGCCTCTCCAACATTTGTCATTTGTGGACATTGAATGATGGCCATTCTGACTGGTGTGAGGTGATACCTCATTGTAGTTTTGATTAGCATTTCTCTGATAATTAGTGATGTTGAGCATTTTTTCATGTGCCTTTTGATCATTTGTATGTCTTCCTTGGAGAATTGCTTGTTTAGGTGTTTTGCCCATTTTTGGATTGGGTTGTTTGGTTGTTTCTTACTAAGTCGTATGAGCTGCTTATATATTCTGGAGATCAAGCCTTTGCCAGTTTCATTTGCAAAAATTTTCTCCCATTCCGTAGGTTTTCTTCTTGTTTTATTTCTGGTTTCCTTTGCTCTGCAGAAGCTTGTAAGTTTCATTAGGTCCCATTTGTTTATTCTTGCTTTTATTTCTATTGCTTGGGTAGACTCTTCTAGGAGAACATTTTTGATATGTATGTGAGATAATGTTTTGCCTATTTTTTCTTTTAGGAGGTTTATTGTATCTTGTCTTATGTTTAAGTCTTTGATCCATTTTGAGTTTATTTTTGTGTATGGTGTAAGGGAGTGTTCTAGCTTCATTGCTTTACATGCTGCTGTCCAGTTTTCCCAACACAATTTGCTGAAGTGTTTTTCCTTTTATATGGATTTTTATTAATGCTGTCCTCAAACTCATTTCTTGGCACAAGTCCAAGGCAGGCCTGCACAGATGCACTTGTTAAAAATGTAGAATATCAGGCTCCACTCCTTACCTAATGAATCAGTCTTCATTTTAGCAAAATCCTCAGGTGATTCACAAGTACCTCAAAGTTAGAGAAGTGTTCCTCTCCAAGGCTGTCTCAAAAAATCAAAAACATCATCAACACCTCCCATATCTTTTCTTCTCTTTGTATTCGTTTTCTCCGTTAATAACACTGAATCTTTCCGGTCAGTTAGGCTGAAAGTATCAGTCATATTTGTCACTTCCATTTCTCATGTTCCTCACGTCTCATCCACTGCCAAAGCCTGGCAATTTTACCTCTTTAACATCTCTTGATTTTGTCATCAACTTTCTCTTCCGACTTCTAATCTCTGTGTTTACAGTTTAGTAAGCTTTCACCAGGCTATTGAAATAGCTAGGCTGTGTGTGTTTGTGTGTGTGTATGTTTGTGTGTGTGTGTGTGTTTCCTTTGCCTCCAGACTTTTTGGCTCTTAGACCATTCTACTTGTTCCTAAGTTAGCTTTCTTAAAGTATTCCTCTGACTCTGTTATTTTCTGCTCAGAAATCTTTACTGGCTACTTGTTACATACAAAATCTGTTCGCATTCAAGACTCTCTGGAATGTTTCTAAACACAACTTCTGGTATACTGTCACTCAGAGACTGAGTTTCAGCCTTATCAAATTATTTTCTTCCCTCTGTCCCCCAAACACATCTTATATTTGCTGCTGTTGTGTTTTTGTTTACATCCAAAATGCCCCCTGACAAACAATCACACATGCAAATATTAAGTTCCTTCAAGGTCTTCTAAACCTATTCTCTATCTTTTCTTAGTCATCACCACATGCCTCCTTAGCATTATTAGAACAATGCATGTCTCTACTCTACCTTAGTGAGTTTTGCATTCACCTCTTACTTCCTCTGATTAATTCTCAGGTCCTTGAAGGCAGGAGAAATGTCTTGTTCTTATAACCTGTCACAATGCCTAACTAAGTGCTTTACAAAAATAGATATTCAGTAAATGCATTATGAATTCAAATGAATAGAAGCAGAGGAGATGGGATGCTATACTCCCACAAAGAGACAGCTTGGATATTTGCAAATATTTATCGAGCCTTTTAAAAGTCAGCTAGTGATATTAACAGCCAGTGGCATGGGATAAATGCAAAGGAGGAGTTAACTGCTAGGAGTAATCCTACTTCTTATGAGTCCTACAATCAGGTGTCCCTTCATTGTCTCCTAGTTTCTAAATGCACTTATCTAAGTTCTCCATTTACACTTGACTGCAGCACACCTAAAGTTGTACTTTTGTCTCTCAGTCAGATAGCTATAGTAGAGCTTAAATGTCTAATAACCAATAGTGTTTAACCCTGCCCAGTGGCACAGGAGAAAGGCATTGCAGGGGTCACTGTGTTGTAACCTGAATCCTTGGGAAAACTATTCTTGATAATGATTTCTGATGTCACTCCTGTACTAGGTTCTGTGCATCATTGTGAAGACGTCTTAACCTGAAATCTATTTCAAATCAAGACAATTTTGTATCCTTTTTACATGATCCAGCCTTTCTCAGTGAGTACTTCTATCCTTTATTTTTTTTATTAAGGAAACTGTGTTAATGAAGTGATGTAATCTCTTTCATAACATTGTTTATTGAGAACCTACTATGTGCTAGGCAATATTCAAAGAACATTACATATATTATTTCATTGAATTTTTATTACAAACTGTCCACTTCATTCTGTAGACAAGACAGCTATGCCTTAGAGAGATTACTTAACTTAGTCACAGACACTTATGAGGTCAAGAAACTAGAAATTAGATCTTCACTTGGTTAATTTAAGTATCTATAGTCTCATTTCATTGTTACTGATGAGGATGAAAATCAGATTAATTTCTACCTGACAGTGAATGTTAATCTGATAGAAGGGAGTAACAAAAATTTGGTGATTCCATACTTTCAGGAATTTCTGACATTGAGAAGTAGAAACTCCTATTTGTCACTTCCCACATTTCTCATTAGTATCAGTCATAAATTCTACACTTCCATATACTAATTTCTTCCCTGCTAGTTCTTGTTATTACTATTATTATTATATTACTCTTACTATGCCTCACTCATTTTCTTAAGGAGAACAGTAGACATTCTCTTTCAGCTTAAGGTTACCTCATTGCTTTGATATGTGTCAAAACTCAGTTTGCTCATTGTCTTTATTATTGCAGAATTTTATTTCTGGATCTCCAAGTACTACCATTGCTATGTTGTCATTTGTAACTCAATCTCTACCCAGTGTTTACATTAACTAGTTAAAAAATCTCACTGTTGACTACATGTTACAATGAAGAAATGTTTATTTCAATAACAACACCAAGTACTATATTTTAGTTCTTATTCTATATGTCCAATAGGATGAACAGCACCTCCTATGGTATCCTCTTATTTTTACATTTATCCTGCACATCTGTGAATTTCTGATCTCTGGTTCAGGTTCTTGATCAAAGTCCTGGTCTCCATAATTTTCATCACTGTAGTCAATAAGAGGATTTACTCAGCTGAGGGAAAACACAAAGATTTCTCTATTTGTCCATTATGACTTGTACCTGTCAAATATTTTAAATGGAGGACTTATATATTTAGCATCCAATTCCTAATATAGATGATCTTGGAACAGGTAGACACTGTTGTTTACAACATGATCACATCCACAACATCTTTTTTTAAATCTACACAGGTATACTTTGTTTTATTGCACTGCACTTTATTGTGTTTTGCAGATATTGTAGTTTTTACAAATTTAAGGTTTCATTTGCTCACCTCATGTCTGTGTCACATTTTAGTAATTCTCACAATATTTCAAACTTTTTACTGTCATTATATTCTTATGGTGATCTGTGATCAGTGATCTCTGATATTACTATTATAATTATTTTGAGGTGTCACAAACTACACCCATATAAGATGACAAAGTTAATCAAGAAATGTGTGTTTTGAATGCTTCACCAACTGGTTGTCCCCTCATCTCTCTCCCTATCTTCAGGCCTCTCTATTCCTTGAGACAAAATAATATTAAAATCAGGCTTATTAACCCTACAGTGGCCTCTAAATGTCCAATTGAAAAGAATAATTACATGTCTCCCAGTTTAAATCAAAAGCTAGAAATAATTAAGCTTAGTGAAGCTCTTGCATGAAACAGCCAAGTTGTGAATGTAAAGGAAAAGTTCCTGAAGGAAACTAAAAGTGCTACTCCAGTGAACACATGAATTACAAGAAAGGGAAATAGCCTTATTGCTGATATGGCTTTTTTCTCCATAGAAAGTTTTAGTGGTCCAGGTAGAAGATTAACTCAGCCACATTTCCTTAGGTCAAAGCCTAATCTAGAGCAAGACCCTCTATGAAGGATGAGAGAGATAAGGAAACTGCAGAAGGAAACTTTGAAGCTAGCAGAGGTTGGTTCACGAGATTTAAGGAAAGAAGTCTCTATGAATGACATAAAAGTGCAAGGTGAAACAGCACATGCTGATATGGAAGCTGCAGCAAGTTATGCAGAAGAGCTAGCTGAAATAATTAATGAAGGTGGCCACACCAAACAACAGATTTTCAATGTAGACAAAACAGCTTTCTATTGGAAGAAGATGCCACCTAAGACTTTCATAGCTAGAGGGAAGTCGATGCTTGGCTTCAAAGCATCAAAGGACAGGCTGACCCTTCTGTTAGGGTCTCAAGCAGCTGGTGACTTGAAGGTGAAGCCAAAGCTCATTGACTATTCTGAAAATCCTAAGGCACTTAAGAATTACATTAAATCTATTCTGCCTGTGCTCTATAAATGGAACAACAAACCTAAATGGTAGCACATCTGTTTACAACATCATTTATTTAATTATTTTAAGCCCACTGTTGAGACCTATTACTCAGAAAAAAAGATTCCTTTCAAAATATTACTGCTTATGGACAATGCACCTGGTAACTCAAGAGCTCTAATGGAAATGTACAATGAGATTAGTGTTGTTTTCATGCCTGCTAACACAACATCCATGCTGCAGCCCATGGATCAGGGACTAATTTCAACTTTCAAGTCTTATTATTCAAGAAATGCATTTTGTAAAGCTGTAGCTGCTCTAGACAGTGATTTATTTGATGGATCTGGGCAAAGGAAAGTGAAAACTTTCTGGAAAATATTCACTATTCTAGATGCCATTAGGAACAGTAGTGATTCATGAGACGAGGTAAAAATATTAACATTCACAGGAGTTTGGAAAAAGTTGATTCCAACACTCACAGATGACTTTGAAGGGTCCAAGACTTCAGTGAAGGAAGTAATTTGTCGATGTGGTGGAAATAGCAAAAGAACTAGAATTAGAGGTGGAAACTGAAGATGTGACTGAATTTCTGCAATCTCATCATAAAATTTTAACAAATGAGGAGTTGCTCCTTAAGGATAAACAAAGAAAGTTGGGTTTTTTTTGAGATGGAATCAACCCCTGGTGATGATGTGGTGAAGACTGTTGGAATGACAACAAAGAATTTAGACTATTATGCAAACTTAGTTGCTAAAACAACAGGAGTTTGAGAGAATTGACCCCAATTTTGAAAGAAGTTCTACTGTGGATAAAACTATCAACTAGCATTGCACGCTACAGAGAAATGAAAGTAAGAGTCAGTTGATGAAGCAAACTTCACTGTTGTATTATATTTTTAAATTGCCACAACCATCCCAATCTTCAGCAACTACCACCCTAATCAGTCAGCAGCCATCAACACTGAGACAAAATCCTCCACTAGCAAAAAGATTATGACTCACTGAAGGCTCAGATGATGGTTAGCATTTTTAGCAGTAAATTATGTTTTAATTAAAATATGTACTTTTTTTACATATAATGCTATTGCACACTTAGTAAACTACAGTGTAATTTAAACATAACTTTTATATGCATTGAAAAACCAAAATATTCATGTAACTCATTTTACTATATTTGTTTTGCTGCCATGATCTGGAATGAAATCTGCAATATTGCCAAGGTGCCTATAGCTGAAGAAACCAGTAGGTGTGATAGTCACTGGAAAGAGTCCTACATAAGTTCTCATCACCTCAAGAGTGATTATATACAGCTGGTTGTTTGCTCATCTACTTTTAGCTCTGTTTGTTTAAGAAGTGAGAATGAAGCCTGAACACAGCCTATTTATTTCAGTCTAGTCTATGGCCACAGACCTTCCCTTGATTTTATATTCTTAAATAATCTTAATTTACACTGTATCAGTAACACTCTATTATGTTGTACAAATGATTTTATAGCTTCAATTGAAAAAGCATGTTATGAACATTCTTAACTCCAAACTATTTAAATATTAGTCTGAATAATGGTCTTAAATTCTTGCAGTTTGTTTACTCTTATAATTGTACCCCTAGAGTCTCATTTTTGAGCTCAGAATATAGATTATTACACTATTTCAAAAGGAGAGTTTAATTATACCCCCAAATGATAGACTTTATTAGCAATTCATCAATAATATATGCCAGTCTCCTTGACAAAAGGCAAATCTGTGATTCTCAAGTGAATGTTTTACAAGTTAAGCAGGTAGGGTCTCAGTCTAACTATACACTGACAATGAATTTTATATTCCTTATCACCTGGGTGATTATCCATTGTAAATAGTATAAAATCATTTTATCTTTTATTGATCATCATTTGGCATTTTACACATGGAAAGACGTTGTATATGACAAAGTATATGAACACCCTATAGGACCCTGGCTAGTGTTTCTTATATAGACTCTCTACTATAGTACTGTTGGGAAAGTCAGAAGTTGGTCAAGCATAGTTTTTTTGACAGACACATAACAACTTTGAACAGACAAAAGTAGCATGTGTTTTGGCTATCCTTTCTTTTTAAA